GCTTCCTGTCTTCTGAGACAGACGGACAACTGTCCTTTTTCGTCTCTTCTATGCCTCCTGACACTGCCTGTCTCTTTCCATGGCTTCCTAGTTCATGGGCTCCTCATTCTAGCCAGGCTTCCTAAAGAATCCAGGGCCTCCAGATGGCCCCCTTTCCTCAACTCTGTATCCTGGAGCCACAGGGATCTTAACTCCCATCGGGCACTGCCCTTCAAGTGATTCCCGAAGGCCGGCAGGCTGGCGCAGACACTCAGGCCACCAGTGCCTGTCTCTCCCCTGGCCCTCCAGCCTCAGTTTATGCAGTGTTTCAAGCCTGCCTACTTCATAGGTCTTCCCGCTCCCTCCCCTGCCCCGTGCCTTACCTGGCAGAGTCCCAGACCGAAACTGACTTCAGGTACCCTCCTACAAACAGATGTTATCCCCCAAAGACACATCTCTCAGGCAAGCTGTAACACCTTCCAGGGTTTGAAGGGTGTCGCACTGCCATGCCCCCAGGGTACCTAGAACGGGTACTCTAAAGTGATATTCTCAATGCTCATTGGCTGACCTGCCAGGCAGGGGTCTGTGAGGACGGGAGAGAGCAGGCCCACTAGGGAGCATTTTAGTTGAGTGCCATGTAAATGTTTGTAGTGTCTTTTTGTTGTTTTCTTTTCTTTTCTTTTTGGTCTGACAGACTCCCACTCACCTGCGTGGAAACCCTCAAATTAAAGAGATGTGGTGTGATCTTTGTAAACTCCACACCTTTCTGTCAAAGGACAGAAAGGTAAACCATTAATTGGGCTCCAGCAGGATGGGGAGCCCCTCCCCCAGCCTCCTTGGAGCTCCAGGTTAATGATTCTGAGCTTGTTTTCCTCGAAGCCTGGTCCTCTCTAATCTCCCTCCTTTCTTAATAACTTGACTCACCCCACTAGTCCCCCACACCAGGGTCAAGAGCCTTGTCTGGAGGCAGGAAATGGTTGGTGTGGGCAGGTCTTGAGCCAGCTTCCGGTTCTCAGAAGCAAGTCCTCAACCCCCATGCCCACCACACACTACCTATACTTAAAGCCAGCTGGCCTCAAAGGCAGATTCGAGAATTTGACCCTGGTGGCCCGCAGCCTCGCCTAGAGAGCTCTGAGAATTCGTTTCCTGGAGTTTAGAAAGTTTTGGAGATTGGATATGGAGAAAATTCTGCTTAGCCTTCCAAGCGTTTCATTGGTGGCTGGGGAGATGGGAAGAAAGGTTTGCAACTCCAGGGGGAGGTCTGTTCCTAGCTACAGTGCAGGCAGGGGCAGCCTAAAGGGTGGTCTGGACCCTTCTTAGATAGGGCCAGCCAGCAGCTAGGCGTCTACTATAGTTCAAAAACCAACTCGAAGTTCCCAGCTACACCTGGTCTTCCCAGACCCCACAACCGGTTCTACTCCTCTTAATCAACAGACAGTGCCCATCCCTCTAGCTTCCTGACAGGGCCTGGTGGCCAGCCCAGACTGAACCTCCTCTCTTGTTCCTCAAACAGGACTCTGAACAAGGAAGTAGGTTGGGGTGAAAAGTCCCACAGGACAATGAAGTAACCATCTCCCTCAGCCTTCTTTTTCTAATAACTACTCATGACTTCTTGAATCTTAAGATTGCTACATAAGGGGAAAGATTCAAGATATGTTTCTGGAAATATTATCACAATGCAGACATTTGAGGCACTAAAATTGTAAAGTCAATCCTCAATGTACTCACTCTTTAAATACAGCCTGTACACAGATACTTGCCACTAAGTTTGATGGCCTGGGTTTCGTTCCCCAGAATTCCCATAGCGGAAGGAGAAAACCAGTCTCCAAAAGTTGTCCTCTTTCCTTGACATGCCGACTATGGCATGGGTACACACAGACAGACAGACAGACATACAGACAGACAGACAGCCTCTTAACATCCCTGAAGGTCTTGAGTCCATCTTGTTCATGTCTGGGTTCCCTTCAACTCGTCGCTTTTGAGCCATCCTATAAATGCAATGATATCTGTTCCTTGATTTTCTCCTTTTCAACATTATGAGCAAAATTCACCTATGTTGTATTACTTGGATAGTACCCACTATATAGTATAAATTCTCATTTTGTTATTTGGTCTGTTTCCAGTGTTGGAACATTAAAGCACTTTGCTAGGAATATTCTCACAGCTGTCTCTTGAAACATACACACCTGACAGAAATGCGTCTTATTCTCGGATAGACAGATACATGCTGAATTGTTAAGTCCAGACAGTCTTAACAACCAATCTAATGCCCTCTCCCATCCCTGACTAGAGCCAGGGCCCTTATCAATAGACAGAGAACACAGCCATAGCTGTGGGGCCCCACCTCCAGGAGAGGGAGTCCTCATCCAGGTGCAGCCAGGGGTCTCGCGATGACATCACAGAATTCACTATGAGGTCACTCCTGAACTTCTGGGTATGGAAATATGGAGAGCCCTTGTCAGGTAGAATGGTTCTTTATTCAAACTGCAGTAAGAAAGCTGGAATCGACTCTAGGGGTTCACCCTGGGCCCTGGGCCCTTTGCAGTTTTGGGCCCTGAGTTGTACTTTAAGGAGCCTCAAAGATCACTGTCTCCATGACCTCGGATGTCACAGAACCAATGATGTCCAGGCCCTGGCCACTCTCTGTCTCCATGATGGCCTCCACGTTGGTTGTCTCCAGTGTCTTGGCCACGATGTCCGTGTCTTGGCCACGCTGTGATGCCAGGCCTTTTGCAGCCAGGTTGGCTCTGATGTTCCTCAGGAACAAGCTGATTCTGCCAACCCTCTTGCTCGTAGACGCAGAGCTGGCGGTGGAGAGGGTCCTGGCTGATTTGTGGGAGCTCCGGGACTCCTTCGTGATGGGGACATGGCTGACCCCTTTGTGAGACCTGTTGCGCTTGCTGCCTCTAAGGGTGCCTTTTTCCTTCTTGTCGGCCCGAGCAGATCTGCGGCTGGTTGATTTTCGAACCACCTTTTCCCCAGCTGCCTTGCGGCGACTTTCTCCTGTCCTCTGCTGGCGGGAACTCCTGCTGCTGCCAGCCCTGTCTTTTGCCCTCCGCTCCCTTCTTTCCCGCCTTTCCTTATTGGCTTCCGTGTTGGCCTCGGGGGCTTTCGGCTGTCTTGTCTGTTCTGTTGTGTGGCTTTCACTCGGCAAGGTCAAGGCTGGATCAGTTGCTGTTTCTTCAACAGACTTGCTAGTAGGTTCTAGTCTTACAATTGCCATAGTCATGCTATCTTTTCGGGAGACGCTGGAGGATGCACTGGAAATATACTCCAGAGACTTGCTGGCTGTCCCTACCAAGGCAGCCTTCACGCTTTTCGGGGACATCTTGCCAGTGCTTGCAATGGCCAAATGGCTTTTGCTTCCTCTTGCACCCATGGCAGCGCCCCCTGCTATGTCTGCATTTGTCTGTCCAGAACTCACAGACCTGGGTCCTGCCAAGCTCAAAGCGCCCACTAGGCTACCCACTGACGCTGCTGTTGTCTCTGTTGATGGCTCTTTGGCAAGGTCTTTTGGGTTTGCTTTGGGGGTAGATACACTGGGCAAAGAGGTGGGTTTATGAGAGTCATGATGGATTCCCTCACCACCAGCAAAAGCAGCCGAGCTGATCCCACTCACGTCTGTGACCACGGGGAGGCTTCTGACACTGACCTGGTCTGGGTCCCCTTTTCCTTGGAACTCGGCTGCTGCTATACTTGTCTTGTCGTCTTCCTCCAGCAGAGGCATGCACACCATGTCCTCTGCTGGGATGGCGTAGGTACTGCTGTTACTGTCCACAGGTGGTCTCAGGAGGTAGATCAATTTTTCCCAGTAGGCAAAGAGGTCATCCCGGCCCTCAAGAGGGGGGCACAACTGCAGGTAGCAAGAACGGCCGGTAGCGAACTTGAGGCGCAGTTGCTGTTTCTCACGGTTGTGAACAGAGATCCTTACAAACTTCAAAGGAAGGAGCCTAGTGAGCTCCAAGGTCTTCGCAGCCTTGCGGCTTTTGCCCTTGGTGGTCTGGCTGCGTCCCGGAAAGTCTTCACAGCCGGGGGCTGGCCGGGCCAGGAGCATGACGTCAGGGAGAGGAAGGATGGGGCTGGTGCACGCAATGCCCACGGTCACCATGCGGACACGGTTGTGCACATCGATCACTTCTCCCCGTTTGGTGATCTGGATGAAGTCACTCTCAAATATTGGAGCATACTTGAATATGTCATACTCTCCTTTGTACAGTTGCCGTTGTAGTTTCCCCATGGCGGTGTTGAACATGCCGACTCCGGAGCCACTCTGGGCTGTGTAATACGGTAACAGAGAGTCAGACGTCATGGTCATTTTGTGTCAAGAAAGGTACGCTGGCAAGGTGGGTTCCCACGTCTTTCTTGGTCTCCACAGATGAGGGGAGCAGCCGTGCTCCTGGGTCACAGAGGCGGCGACACTTACAGCAGGTCTCTCAACCCCACCCCACAGACCCCCAGTTTGCCTCAGAGCCTCTCAGAGGCCTGGGCTGGGGGTGGGAGCACAGATGATTGACAAGGGGTGCTGTTGGGTACCTGGACTCCAAGCCCAATCTCTCCAAGGGTGTAGAGATGCAGGGTTAGACTCCAGGGAGGTTTTCTTCAGGGTGTGAAAACCCTCCGACCTCCACCAGTGATTTTTTTGAAAGCCCCCTGTACATCTACAACAGCAGCCCTAGTGGGAGAAGTGACCACTAGGGCCTGAAGCCCTGCACAGCCATACTTATCCCCCTCTCCCTTTGTGACCTGTCACTGTCATATCCCCCTTTGTCCCATCCTCCAGCTGCCCTGCAAGAGGACAGGGCTGTAGGTGGGTGCCAAAGGGAAAAGGTTTCAAATGGGGAAACTGTATACAAGTACTTTTTTCTTTAGCCCAAATTGAAAAGATTCAAAGCCCGTGGGAATCCGAGGGACAGGCAGATTTGAAAGGTCGGAGCTTATGCTGTCGTTTTATTGGACAACCTGAATACCGGGCTTGATCCTTCCACGAAACCTCACTAAATGTTGGTGGTGATAATCTTTCGTGGCAGCTCTTGCCTTTACTAAGTAAGGCAGAATTAATGCTTACTGGCACTGTACTATGTATGACATGTCACACATTCCTGGAAGACCCACCAAGGTGTGCTATCACTACCGTTCTGAACGCCAGTCGCCTGCTCCCACAAACGGTACTGTTTGAATGCAGGTCTTGCTGATTCCGAAACCTGTTTTAAATCACTATAGGACTTTGCCTCCCGAGGGAAGCTTGGGCCAGTCAAATGTTTTCAAACTGATTTATTTTTACTGCATCATGGGACGTTGTATGGTCTCTCTCTGTCTCTCTGTCTCTCTGTCTCTCTGTCTGTGTGTGTGTGTGTGTGTGTGTGTCTCTGTCTCTCTGTCTCTCTGTCTCTCTGTCTCTCTGTCTCTCTGTCTCTCTGTCTCTCTGTCTCTCTGTCTCTCGACCACTCTTTTAGACAGCGGGTAGGCTGAGGTAGGGGTAAATTACCCAGTGGTTTCCCCTTCCGTTTTGTTTTTGTGGGGGACCATTTAATCTCTTACGGATCCACTTCTCTACAGTATGCTCAGTGAGATGCACAGTGTAGGGGTGAAGGGTAGGAAACAGAAGTCCTTGAATTCCAAGAGAGCATCCAAGCCCCTCCCTACCCCCCCCCACACACACATTCTAACAGCCCTGCTGTTGGGGAGAGCATTGGAAATCTGTTTACATCGGTCACCATGACTCGGGCTATTGCCACACCTACCTAGCTAGCCAGACTCAGGATTTCCAAACTGTTGTCACTTGGACCCTTACTCCAGACATTCATCCCTTAAGGGCAAAGGTTATCTACCGCTCTGTGAAAGCACACACACCTGGCTATTAACTGATAAATGGATGAGCAAAATACAGATCCTCGTACAATACACTGTAACTCAGCCGTGAACAGGAATGGAATGTTGATTCGTACCTCAGCATGGGTGGACCTTGGTACTTTGCTACGTGAAAGAAGCTTGACACAAGGCCACAGGACAGGCTAGCCTGAAGAAATGAACAGTTGAGTAGTTTGCCAAGTGCTGAGGGTGGGACCTGGGGAGTGACTGCTCCATGGATGTCAGTCAGTGGTGGCTACACATGAACTCAACGCATTTGGATGCTGAATATTATGATTTGTGTTTTTCCATTTATATACATAACACATACACCCTTAGAACTCTTGCTTGAAACCTTGGTGGTTTTAGAAAGTGTAGCCTTCAGTCTTAGGTAAATTGGGGGACTTTGAGCAGTTTTGGCTTTCCCTACTTCCTCACATGTGGAGCAGAGCAGTGCTTTTGAGGACTGGGAATGTCTCCAAAGCCCCTGTGCTAAAGGCACGAGGAGTCCCTGAGCTGTCGGGGGGTGGGGCCCTATAGGAGGTCCTGTGCCATGGACGATGTGCCTTAAGGGAGATGACAGACCCTTCTGGTCATGAGGTGATTTTGGTCCACCATACACTTCCTACCTGGGTTTGCTGCATCCACACAGACCCAAGGAAAAAGATGAATCAGTCATGGACTCACACTTCTAAACCGTGGACCCAAGCACTTTTTTTCTCAGTGTTTCGTGCATGTGTGAGTGGTAAATGCACGTGTGGCAGCCCAAGGTTGGTTTTCTCAGATGCACCCAGATCTGGAGACACGGCTGCTCTGGCTAGTCTGCCTGCTCTGGGGATGGCCCGTCTCTGTCTTTTCAATGTAGAATTACCAGCAAGCCACCATGTCCACCTGGCTTTTACGTGGGTTCTGAACACAGGTCTTTACAATCGTGTGGCAAGAACTTGAACCACTAAGCTGTTTTTCTCTTTAAAAAATGCTTTATTATATTCAGTGTGTGTGTGTGTGTGTGTGTGTGTGTGTGTGTGTGTGTGTACTGAAAATGTTGGCGGGTGGGTTGGGGGCATGTGCACACCATAGTAACATGTGGTCAGAGGATAACTTGTAGGAGTTCAGTCTCCCCATCGTGTGGGACTGGACTCAGGTCATCAGACTTGGCAGCAAGAGCCTTCACTCACTGAGCCATCTCACCAGCCCACGTTTCTCCATTTGTTTCTCCTCAGGAATTCTGTTATAGTGACAGACAGGTAGCTAACACATGGCATGATGCAGGAAACGTCTAGCCCGTTGTCCTAGTCAGTGAATACTAGCTGTGATTATCATCCATGTTCACCCATGCTTTGCAGCTCAGGGTGAATTTCTTCGAAAGTTTCGAGACAAGATCTCACCATGTAGCCCTGGCTGGCCTGGACCTCACTGTGTAGACTATGCTAGCCTTGACCAGAGACCCACCAGGCAGGTACCACCTAGCTTGACCCTAAGAGCAATGCTTTATGAGACCAGAGGCTTCTGGAGTTTAGAGTCACAACCACCCAGGAGGACAAACGAACCCTCAGTGTGGAAAGCTTGCCTCTTCACAGAATGTTTAAGGATGACTCAGGTCAGGTCCTGAGCCAGAACCTTTCAAACCTTTACTCTGAAGCAGGTGTTGGGACAGATCCCAGGACAACACAAGAGGCAGAGGAACCTGGAGAGGAAGGGAGGCTCTTCCAGGCCACATAGGGCTGCATAGTAAGTTCCAGGCTACCTTGGGCCACATAGTGAGGCTCTCAAAAAACAACAAACCATATTAGTGCCAAACAGTTGGTGTGAAGGGCACATGTAGTGTTTCAGGGTTTGTTGAGGAGAAACTGAGCATCAAGCAGCAGACTGAGGCAAGGGTCAGAAGTCACCCACCTGGGCTAGGTCTCTACAGGCAAATGCACGAATGCACACACCTCTCCCACACAGCATACATGCATACACACACTTAAAAATAAACTGAAGTGGAGAGACGGATCAGCAGTTAACAGCATTCAGTGTTCTTGGAAAGGATCTGGGTTCTATTCCCAGCACCTACATGGCGGCTCACAACCCTCTGCAACACCCTCTCCTGGCCTCCTCAGGCACTGCATGAATGTGGAGCGCAGACACACATGCAGACAAAACACCCATAGACATAAAACATACCCATACCCCAACCACCCTACCTAGTGTTCTTCCTGTGAACAAAGGAAATCTGTCCCCAAATACTCATGCTAATCACCCCATAACAGAGAGGCAGAGTCATTATTTCAACAGAAGACTTAGTAGAAACCAGCATGACACGTACGTTTACCATGTCTTATTTTGATATTTATTATGTCGACAGTCTAGGAATACTGGGATAAATAAGTAATATTTTCTCTCACAGAAAATTGTAATGATACTATTGAGTAAGATTAAACACTCTGAGGATTTCACAGAAACGTCAGAATTTTAACAGTAGCCAGAGTCCTGGTGGCCAGAGGGAGGTGCCTCCCAACTGAAAAGCTCTGGGCCATATCTCAATAACAAAAACAATGCCATTAACATCCCACAACGCAGACACCTGGCCCTGCACACGACTTCAAACACACTTCTCCACAGGCTGTGGTTTCTGGCTGTGACGAAGGGATAATGGAGTATCTCTGGCCCTTCTAGCCTAGAAATCACACCTGCTCTGTCACTGAGTGGGAAGGAGAGTCCTACCCTTTGGAAGCTGGACTTCCTTTGTGCCTTCTTTCTGTGAGATTGCAACGGTTTGCAGCCAAGGAGCTGCTGTCATGCCCAGGTTCTTCCTCAGCAGTGGGTACAGGGAAAGGAGGCGTCCTCTGACAGCACAGAGCGACACAGCTGGCCAGCAGGCCCATTTCGTTCCTGGGGGGCAGGCAAGCTCACATGTCCACCCGAATGCTTTTAAGGGATACTATCCATGATGGCAGACTCCCAAACTCTCAGAAATCAGTTCTGATGAAACTCCCAGAAAAATCATTACAGTGTCGTGCAAGACAAACATCCAAATAGCACAACACAACACCTGGTTCTGAAGTGAATGCCCTGTGCACAGCCATCTGGGATGAAACAGCTTATTTTCTAGAAGCACACCCTGGCCATTGGACAACCTCGACAACGAGTGTTCTTGCTCCGTATTCCCTAGAAGGGATGGTGTCAGCTGCAGTGGCGGCCCTGGTCCCACCCCACCTACCGAGGCGGACACTTCTGCGTGAATCCCATTAGTGGGTGTCCTGCTTTGCATGGGACCCCAGCCGGGGACCAGCTAGATCATCTGAGAATGGTCAGGATGGTAAGGCCTAAATCCTGGAGTTAGTGAGACAAGGGACGCTCTTGCCCTGCGCCACAGTTCACTCCAGGGCAGAGTGGGACAACGCAGTGGTCGCCGCAGGCCCCCCTGCCCCAACGGCTCTCGGCTGCTGAGATGCTAGAAGTGCACAGGAAGCCAGCTTTCCAACGGCTTCAGGGTTTGGGGTGGAAAAGGAGGATTCAATAAGGACTCCCCAGTTGCCCCCATGCCCCTGCCGCTTAGCTCTGCAATGTTCCTTCTTTTATTTGCTGGATAAAGAGGTTCCTCTCATCTTCCGGAGTCCGCCCATTCTGAGCCCGCACGATACACGTGGGTCGGTGCAGGTTGAGCATGTATATCAAGTGCTGTTTCTCATTCTTCAACTCCTCTATTTGGGCCTTCAGCTCAGCGTTCACACTCTCTAGCTTCTCTGACTCCTGAGGGACAATCAAAAGATAGAGGCATTATGGGGGGAGCCAGGGTTGGGGAGGTATGCGAGACCACCTGGAAATCTTGGGGCTCATTGAGCTGGGAGAGGTGTGCTGGGGGAACCATGCACCACAAAAGATAGGAGGTCAGAACTAGGTCAGGGGTGGTGTGGACCCTGCAGAGGTCTCTGAAATTAGGGGACATGTGAGAAGTTTGGGGATACCACTGAGCCAGGCTGCCATGCTTACTGAAGCTGCTGTAGCACCAAGGGCTCAGGGAAGGCTGCTCCAGTCCACTGCCAAGGGCATCTGAGCCCCACAGGGTCTGGGGAGCTGAGGAGAATTTCAAACTGGTGGTGTAGCGTTTTCTCTGAATTTCTGATCTCACCAAGACTCTCAGGTTTTTCACTGACCCTAAAGCAACAAGCAGAGATCCCAGGACTACTGAGGCCAGCTTGTGTCTCTGCCAGAAGCTGGCCTGCACAGACTTGGGGGAGCAGACACGGCCCCTGCAAAGACTTCCAGGCTCTGTGTGTTTTGTTTTGTTTTGTTTTGTTTTTGTGGGGTGACAGCCTGATAGCGTGCTCTCAAAGTGCTGGATAGGCAGGAAGAAGAGACGCAGGGTTCAAACCCAGGCAGGAGCACAGTGTAAGTACTTCCGGGTTAACAGAGCAAGCTGGAGAGGAATAAAAGCTTTTCTTGAGAGTCAGTGGCAGTTAGCAGGGGTTTGTTGTTTTATTTGTAAAACTGGTGTGAATAAAGTCTTTTTAGCCTGAAAGCCTAGAAACTCATGGCGGTGTATGGACCAGTTTGTGCCACATCATGCATGTGGAGGTCAGAGGACAATTCTTGGAGATCCGTCCTCTCCTCCCACAGTGGGTTCTGGGCATCGAACCCAGGTTGCCAGGCTTGCACGGCAAGCTTGCTAGCCCCTGGATACATGAAGGTTTTTTTGTTTGTTTGCTGTTTTTGTTTTTTGAGACAGGGTTTCTCTGTATTGCTTTGGAGGTTGTCCTGGAACTCTGTAGACCAGGCCTGCCTCTGCCTCCCGAGTGCTGGGACTAAAGGCGTGTGCCACCAACACCTGGCAATACTGAAGTTTTTAAATCTACAAATCTTTATTCTATATATCAGAGTCCCCTCCTCCCTCTGCCTACAGCTGGCATTTCTACACCACCCACAACTCCCCTCTGCCAGTGGCACAAGGCTGATGAGGTCAGGAGTGGGCGCTGAGTAGGGGAAGCTCGGCCAGCACTCACTTTCTGTAGGCACTCCGTCTTCTCTTTCTTCTTGTTTCGACACTTCGCAGCTGCAATCTTATTTCTTTCCCGCCGTCTCCTTTTCCTTTCATCTTCCTCAGGTGCCACCTATAAAACCCAAAAGGCCACACTTAAGCCACCATGAGGCCAAAATAGCAAGGCTGTGGGTTTTTTGGTTTGGTGTTTTTTGTTTTTAGTCACTTTTATGTGTATGTTTATTTGTCTGTGTGTGGATCTAGCACATGCACTCAGAGGCCAGAAGAGAGTGTTGGATCCCTGGAGCTGGAGTTACAGGCTGCTGTGAACCAGTGTAGCTGCTAGAATGGGGTGCTGGGACCCCCAGTCTCCTGGAAGAGCAGCAAGTGCGCTTAGCCCCCGAGCCTTTTCTCCAGCATCATGGCCTAGATTTTTGTGTGAACTCCCAACACACACGTGTGTGCGCACACTCTTGAGAATAAATAACAAAATCTAAAGTCAAAATTCTATTCATCAAAATAGAATTACATTTGAAACTAGTAAATTAAAATCTAACCCACTTTAAAATGCATTTGGAGTTTGAAATAAGAATTTTAATCTTAAACTGATTCTCCAAATGGCATCTGTCAACCACTGGATCACAGCTGCAGGGACAGCAGCACTCCTAACATCTCTGTCCTTACCAGGTGCATCAAGGCACACCCTTCTGTGAAGCCTGTGAGCTCCTAGAGAAGACTCCAGACTATTACTGGCACTAAGATGGTATTAGTAAGCCCACAGCTGGATACCAGTGGGGAGTAGAGCACCAAACCACCTGTTGATTCAGCCAACAAGTCACACTGACTTCCTGTTCCTCGTTCTGAGTCAATGCTGGGGCTCTCAGAGAACAGGGCCCTGTCCAGGTCTGGGGAGTGTGGTCCTCCATGGACATCCACCCAGACCCGACTTAGTCTGTGGACCTTTGAGCAATGGCCACATGTAGCTACTCAACTCTGCTGAAGACCACAGTCCAGCATGGTGGGCTGGCCAGTGTCAGACCTCGTCAGCTTCAGGAGGCCACTCCTGACCCTTCCCTAGTCTGCTGGGTCAGAAGACACTGACTGACGGTTGAGATGGAGGTCTCCAAATCTAGAGAAGCAAAACTCACGGGAGAACACTGAGAACACTGGAGGAGGCATTCCTATCTGGCCACAGACCTAGTAAATATAAGAACCACATGCATGCAGACACACACACACACTCACATACATACATACACACATACACCCCACATACATACACACATACACACACACACACACTCACATACATACATACATACATACATACATACATACACCCCCACATACATACACACATACACACACACACTCACATACATACATACATACACACACATACACACCCCTCCACATGCATACATACATACACACACACATATACACACACACATACATACACACACACCACATACATACATACACATACACCCCACATACACACATACATACACACACACACTGTGGGTGAGCAGAGAGATGGCTCAGTGGTTACGAGCGCTTGCTGCTCTTTCAGAGAATTTGGGGTTGATTCCCAGCACCCACATGATGGCGCACAACTGTAACTCTGGTTCCAAGGGACCCAAAAATCCTCTTCTGGCCTCCGTGGGCACCAAGCATGCATACAATGAACATACATTCTTGCACATAAAACACACACGTAAAATAAAAATAAAAATTTAAAAGAATGAATCACAAAAATCAAAGAGCCAGTGAAGAAGGATTACACTGGCAATATGGTAAATTAAAGTTGAGACGACTTTAAAAATAATTTGGATTTTGAAGTAACATTTTGATAATTAAATTGGTTTCTGTAAGTCAGAACTGGAAAAAGACTGTTTTATAAATATGTCCCTTCCCCTAGAGTAGGGAACCTGGGATCATCCATCCATTAGCGGCTCTACCACTGGTCTTCCTCCAGATACTCTCCAACTGCCCTCCCCAGTCCATCCGTCTGTCTAGCCCCCCTCCCCCACTTTTTCCAACTACTGTATCGTGTTATTGCAAACTATGTCATTAGAAAAACAAAGTCTCCCAGAATGTCCCAGGCTCTAACCTGCACTACCCAGTACTGGACATGATACCTGGACTGTTTTGTGGCACCCTCTCTGACCTCCCCTGAGTTAGCTGGGAGCACAGTTAACACCCCCAATGGCATCCATGGCAACAGCATCAGAAATAATGTCTGTCCCCACTCACTGGATGCTATCAGCCAGGCTCCCCTCAGACTTTCCACAAGTGCCAGTCCTTGGCGGGAGACATCAAACAACCATGAAGACCGTCAAGCCATCTCCTTCTACCTCTGGTATAATGGATCAAACCCAAAACCCAAGGTCTTACACTCATCGCTGGGCTACGACCGGGGACCTCAGCCTCCTTTTAAACTCACAGTTTTTGATCAGTTTCACCCTTTGCTCCAGGGCTGCAGTCACACACATTAAGTAAGCTTGCAATATCCCCAACCAAGAAAGGCTAACAAAGTTGCAAGAGTTCGTTATCTCTGACGTTCTTGAAGCAGCATTGTCACTGACAACCACGGTTCAATAACCAACTCTATTATTCCAGGTGTCTTACGGGAAGGTTTCCCAATACATAGTGCACGTGTGTGAGTGGATGTTGAGCCCAGAGCAAACACATGGTATAAGAAATCTGTGAGCACCATTGCCAGGAAGGGAAGGCCTAATCTCCTGGTCCTTGGGTCCTGACATATCATTCCCCACTTTTAAGAAAGTCTCCACAGAGAAAGTGGCCTCACTGAACTCACAGCTTCAAGCGCCAACCATAATTTGATGATTCCCAGTTCGGTGTCTCTGGCCCTGGACTCCCAGCTCACATTTGCACTTTCTAGTTCACATTTTCTGAGGACAGAACTTCGGCTCTTGCCCCACCTGGCTCCTACAGTCCCTAGCCCTGAAGCAAATGGACACTCTTGTTTGTCCATGTAACACACCGGTACCTACAGCAGCCATATCCTCAAGTTAGACCCAGACGCCAGCTACATTTCAGCACTAGCCTAGCCTGGACCTTCATCTTCGTATATGGAGGGTCCCTTAGGGAGTACCCTTCCTATAGACTCCCTCTCAAGTCCTAGCTCAAAGGCCATGACTAGTGACACTTTCCCTGGCCTCCTGATTTAAAATGACCACTCACCTCCACCTATTCTCTGAACCCCTTTCTTTTCTTAAAAAAAAGAAAAATTAGCTTTATTGTTATGTGTATGAGTTTTTGTCTGCATGTGTGTTCACATTTGTGCAGTTGCTTCTTTCTGTCCCCCCCCTTTTTTTAAAATATTTATGTTTTATTTTTCGTGTATGAGTATTTGCCTGTGTTCATGTATGCATGACACGTTTATACAGTTGCCTGCAGAGGCCAGAAGAGGATGTTGGAGTCCCTGAAATTGGAGTTACAGACAACTGTGAGCCACCATGTGGATCCTGGGAATTGAACCTGTGTCCCCAGTATGGACAGCAAGTGCTCTTAACTGCTGAGTCATCCCTATAGAGACAGAGACAGAGAGAGACAGAGAGAGTCCAAATGTTTGTTTACCAATTCTCTCTCTCAAGAGTCGTGATATGTCTCAGAGTGACCTCAAACTCACTGCTCTCTTGACCTTCCTGTTGTAGCCTCTTGATCACACACACACACACACACACACACACTATACCTGGTCATTCAGACGTGTACACTCTGCCTGCTTGTTGGTGTATTGTCTCTATTCCATTATCTTCAGAGAATAGAACCTAAGCTCCCCAAGGGCAGTGCTTTTGTTGGTGCTTATCCCCAGCTCCTGCCTCCTGCCTGCGGAGTGTGTGTGATAAATGCCTGCTGAAAGAATGGACATTGTGAGGCAGAACCCACCTCGGCTTTAGTGACTGACATCTCCAGGGGTCTGTTGTTGATGGTCACTGACTCCAGCGCAGAGGACATCCGGTGGCACAGGTGCTTGTTCTGAATGGCAAACCTCAGCTCTTCCTTGACAAAGGGCGTCAGGTTAGCAAAATCCTCAAATACCAGGGACCCAGGAGGTGAGAGGCAGGGGACGATGGCAGACGCACTGACTTCGGAAGCAGAGACCTGGCCTGGATGTTGAAGCATCATTTTGCTGAAAGAAAAAAATTAAGCCCAAACTGCTTCAGGGGTCCTGGGGCACAGATTCCAACCACGCCAAAGTACAGCCCACCCCAGAACAAAGTCCCTGCAGCCCTGGGGCTTCTGCCTTGTTTCCATTTCATGCCCATCTCTTGCCTGTGGCTGGAGGAATTATAGGAAATAAGGGAGACCATATTACTGTTGTTTTGCTAAGCGGACACGTTGTCAAACTGCTCCCTACTCATTTATTCCCATATCCAGAGACTCGTGCTAGCCTCAACCTTGGTCAGCTTTCTTTTTTTTTTTTTTCAGTAGGCAACAGTTAACGCAGAAATTCATAGCTGAGCAAAGTTCTGAGAATAAGTGATTGTTACACCTTCTGTCTCCCTCTCCTTCTCCTCCCCCCCCTACACACACACACACACACACACACACACACACACACATTCATGGATCAGGGAACAACAGTCTGAAAGGATGTAAGAGCAGGAAGACGGGGAGAAGCGGACTTGTGTAAGACTGAGCCTGTCAACATTCTGGCATGGGTTAGGGAGGGTTCCTTGAGGTCCGGATCCTCACCCAGGAAAGGGGTCACTTTATTCAGTAGTCACCGGTTAAGTTGCCATGTTCCAGTAACTAACACCACACCCATGCTCAGGCAAGCAATGCCAATTAAAGTCAACAGACCATCAAAAGTTGTTTTTTTGTTTGTTTTTTGTTTTTTTATGCTATCCTCATTGTGAATAAAACAGATTCTTAAAACACGAATCTCAGAGATGGCTAAGAGTTTAAGAGGGTTGACTTCTCAGGTTCTTCTAGTAGTCTGCCTGGTATACAGATTATGCAATGTGGCCTCAGTACCCCAAAGAGAAAAAAAAAAAAAACATTAAAAAACAAAAAAACAGCACTTTCTGGAATCCCATTTCCAGACTCTTTCAAAAAGAGACTGGGATGACACCTGAAATCAAGACCAATATGATAGTGTGTGGCAGTTAAATCAGGAAGTTGAGGAGGGGGGGGGGGGGGGGCTTGAATTCCACAACTCGTGCGGAAGTTTCTCCCGCAGGAAGCTCAGAGGGAATGAGGAAGCTGGGTGTGTTTTTTCACCCCAGACCTTGGCAGGGGGTGGTAATGGCGGGAACAAGGAGTTCTTCTTAACGAGAAGGCTGGCAAAGCAAAGGACTTCAGGGCAAGCCAAATTGAGAGGGAGACCTGGATTTATGGGGGTGTTGTTTAGTGCTGAGGTATAAGGAGAGGCTTGGAGTAGGGGCAGAGGGGACCTGGGATGTGGCCTGGTCATGAAAGAGCAGGCCACTCAGCTCTGGGATTCAGTCTTCATCTGGAAATTGGTGGAGAACTCCCCCAAGCCAGCAAACCACTGCCCAAGCTCTGTCCCAAGCCAAGCTTAGCACGGGCCCACGATGCCTGCTGACCAGTTGGACAACTGAATAAACAATGTGGCCTCATCATTCTAAAGGCCAGCAAATCCACAGGGGCGTGACAAGGGAAAGTCAAGGGCAGAAGTGATCTAGACTACCCAGTCTTCTGCTGTGGACTTAACAGCTGTGACTCCCACCCTTCCCAAAGCAGGGACTGTATTTGGTGACACTGGTCACGTCACAGCCACGTCACAGACGACAGGAAACCTTTTGGCAAACCTCTAACATGAAAGGATACCCTGTCTATCTTGTCTCCTTTGGGCCTTGTGAGAAGCCGGTGCTGTAAAGCCTGGCCCCATTTTATACATGAGTTAACTGAGATTTAGACAGATCACATTAACATGGGATAGCACCAGGCGTGGGGATTCGTTTGGCTTGGCTTCAGAACTCATGACCTTAATTTATATGCCGCATACCCAAATACTATACTCCATTGAACAACAACAAACAGCAAACGTTTGGAGGGGCGTGAAGCAGAGGGGAAGCCTGGAACAGAAACAGTGGTGGCGGGGAACTAGGCAACGATTCCCAGGGAATCCCTGAACTCTGTTCAAGGAATTGCTAGTCTTTTTATATCACTCCACTACTGCCTGCATCCAGGCGTAAGTTTAAATGGGCTGTTTTATGCATAAAATTCTCCAAGATTAAAAAAAAACAATATTTGAAGACCACTTAGTTCTGTGTTGTGACCATACATCGCCTGCACAACCCCCCCCCCCATGGCTTCTTTCTCCTAAGCAAAGGTAGGCTGAGAACAAGTACCCCATTTCCCCAAGAGTGGTGTGAGGGCCACCAGGAGCTACACTGGGTCTCCCAGGATCACCCTCAGAGGGCTGGCTGCTCTCCTGTGGAGACTCAGTAGGCTCTATCAGGTCACTTTTGATGCTCCTCCCCAGGGTACCTGTCCCTGGAGATGGAGGCCCTCGAGAAATTCCAGTCCAGCAAAAGCTGCCCTCCACTAGTCATATGAACTCAAGAAATTGGTACAATTCTTTCCCAAACTGAAGGTCTCTTCATTGAATCCTGTGATCACGTGTCTGGGAGCTGTTTCTCTGGCTTCTGAAGCCAGAGGCTTAACTTCCTCCCAAGCATCCTCATTTCCCCTTCCTTTCCAATTTTGCTCAAAACAAAACAAAACCACCAGTTAAGGGATGGAATTCAGAGCTGCTACAGGTCTGGCCTTCATGTGCATGACTTGATGGGTCATCTATACTGGCTCGTTTGAGCCAGTTGAGTTTGTCACTTTAGCCACCCAGTTAAGTTTCTTAATGAGCCCTTGGGGTTTAGAGTCTGCTGTTTGGGACCCCCCCCCCCAACATCCTTCTTAGCATGAAGACAGGAAGAAACTGAGGAATGTCAGTGGTATGGAATGCTTTTGTGAAAAGCTGGGGGTGGGGCTTACTTGGGGATTCAAGCATGTCGTAAAGCTGTTAAGAAAGTCTTTCTGACTTTCAAGTGGCTCCATCTGTAAAGATCTGGGAGTCAGCCTAGAGTCAGGTTGTGTCCTCCAGGGAAACAGAGTCTAAAACTTCAGCTTGTTTTCAGGAGCTGAGGCCCTCTAACACACCCAGCATCCAAGAGGGGAGTGTCTGAGGGGTTTGGGCGAGCTGAGTTAACTCTACACCCATCATAAAACTGTCTTCTGGATTTGCTTCAAGACTCAAATTCTGTTTTTGTTTCTGCTTCATGATGTCCAATCAGAAATTATGTCATATTGTTGGCAATTTCATCATTTTCAAGAAAGTGAAACTTTTCTAATTTATTTAACTGGAAATTCAGCTCCTAGATTTTTATCTCCAATTGAAATTTCACTTTTGATTTGCACTTCCTTCCACTGAACCATCTGCAAAGCAACGTGTAGCAGTCGGGAGAGGGTTAGCCACCTTTTCCTGACTCTCCACATCCTGTTCTTTCTCCTGTTTGCAGATGGGAGGTGCAAGGATCAGGCGCTGTCTCCAGGTCTATGTCTGCCACTCACTAGCTGAGCACCCATTCAGGAGTCAGAGGCTTTCTGACCTTCAGTTCCTATCTGAAATTTGTGAATGAGATTGCCAACTCCCTCCCCAGGCTGTGGGGAAGAACACCCCCCCACACACATACACACACTTGAAAACATAAGAGATTCACACCCACACAGACACTCTAACTCCACCTTCCCCCCACCTCAGGGAAATGGATTTGGCTGTCAATTCAGTTTAATTCTGTTCATCAGCAATTAACTGGAACCCTCAAGGATTTCAGGTCAATCTGCCACAATTGTACTACGGTCCTGAGTTCCCGGGACACCGGGTGACTGCCACGACACTCTGCTGACATCAGCACTTCTCCATTGTCGTGTGTTCTTCAGAGATTGTGAGTTTTCACACAAGAAACCATTTCTCTCTTAAGAGTTTCTGTGGTGTCCTGGCTATGTCCCTCCTTCGCTGGTTGGATTAGCATAGAGCCAGTTCCTTAAGGAATCACAGACTCTGGCTAAAGGTACCCAGCCTTAGAATTGTCTAGATCAGATCCTCACTTTGTCACTTAGTAAACTGAGGTCCAGGAAGGAAAGCAACTAGCCTAAACTCACACAGCTGGAGGGTGGTTGGTCCAGCCAAGCTGCTGAAACCACACCCTCTGCTCACTTTACACCAGCTCAAGAAAGCAGCCAACCACAGGCAGAGCGGTCAGCCAGGTAGCAGCTGAGGACTCAAGAGTCCCATACCTGGAACCCTTCATCAAGGAGGTTTTGACAGAATGAAGACAGGAAGGGGTCACAGAAGAAACTGGTGTGGAGAAGGGATTTAGATAGCCACAGTGCTGGGCGCTATGCCTCCACCTGGTCAGCAACCTCTGAAGTCTCAGAAACAACCACAACCGCCGCCCCCAGGCAAGAGCCTGTGTGTGGTAACATGATCCCCACAACAAACGCTACATGCAAAACGTGCTCTCTTGGTGACACATGACTGTAATCCCAGCACTTGGGAACTGAGGCTGGAGGATTGCCATGAGTTTGAAGCAAACCTGGGTTACATAGGGAGACCCTATCTCAAAAAACCTAACAAGGGAAGGCGGAGACTAATTGGGCTTGGCAACTCCTTGGATTTATGAGAAAGCCTGTGATCTACATAATAAAATTAAGCAAAATAAAGTGGCTATGAGGAAAATTAAAACATGGCAGTTGAAGATGAGAGCGGGTCGAAGCAGAGAACCAACCCACGGGAGAAAGGTAGGAGGCAGAGATGGAGAGGGAAGCCCCTTCCCTTCCTGTCTCAGAGACACTGGGTGGGGAGCCACCCTCTTAACTCCAGATCCCTTCCTGGCTCCTTTTAGTTCGGTTATTTCGTTCTAAAAACTGAAAATCTTCGGTCAAAACCTGGCCGTATTAACCCTAACCCTAACCCACACAGCACAGGGCTCTAGCACAGGGTGCTGGGCGTGGTGGCCTGTAATTCCAGCACTTGGAAGGCTAAGGCAGGAGGATCACCAGGAGTTTATGGACAATCCGAATTATAGAGTGAGACTGTCTCAAAAATACAAAACAACAACCCCCCAACACACACACACACACACACACACACACACACACACACACACGTGTTCAAGTGGTTCCACACCCTGGTCCCTCCACCCGTTCGATCTGGTCCCCGCAGTTCTTCGACTACACAAAGCAAAAACAAAACAAAAAACCAAACAACAACAAATCAAAACAAACAAAAAAACTGAACAAACAAAAACCCCAAGTACCGATTAAAAAAAAAAAAAAAAAAAAGACAGAGCCACAGCAAGTCACAACAGCAAGAGAGGCTGGTGCTGACGCCCCAAGCCCAGCCGCTCGACTTCTGTGGGTGCCGAGACCTCTCCGCAGTCCGCCCCGGGACAGCGCGATACCAGCGCTCGCCGCCTACAAACTAATTCCAACTCACTTTCGCTCACAGTGAGCTCCGCTCCCGGGAGCGCGAGGCGACCTCCAGCGGCTGTGCCGGGACCTCGGACCGAGCGTTCCTTCCCCATTCATTTCGCTCGGGACCGGGAGCAGCGCTACCACCAGCCGCGGCCACCGCGCCTCTCCGCGCGGACCTAGGAGGGACCCGCTCCGGCTCCGGCGTCCGGACACCAGGTGAGGGACACAGTGACCCGCGATCCCGAGAGTGTGGGTCACCCCCGCGCACCAAGCAGCACTCAGCACCCACCCAGGCGACCTCTCTAGAAGCAGGCTGAGAGCGCGCGGTCTCCTCCGTCCCCGGGCATCTTTCACGACTCAAAAGAGAAAGTTCGTTCTTTCACTTTACTAGAAACTTTGTCCCAGCTCGGAGCGGCAGCGGCAAGGAGCAGTTCAGCCGAGCGACTGTGGCGCGGCAGAATAGGACTCGGGTCCGGGTGGCTCAGGGGTCCCGGGACTGGTCACTAGAGGGGAGACGAGCAGGGGAGAGCCGCTTTCCGCCGCGTGGCTCTAATACTCACCTCCAATCTCCGCTCGGGGCGGCCAGGGTCCAGAGAGCGGCCAGAGGCGGGCGTTCTGTCCCGCTGGCGGGCGAGCACCGAGGGCTCTGCCGGAGCGCGGGCTGACCGGTCAGCTCCGCGGGGGAAGCACCGTGCCCAGCGCGTCTCGCTGCCTGAGACTGTGGCTGAGAGCGCGTTGCATCACCCCTTTTATAGCCCTCGCGCTAGCTTAACTCCAAGTTACCAATCCCAGGCTGACGTAATGCTATTAATAGCTTCCAGGGAGAACTGGCCAGAGGAGGGTGGAGGAGGGCCGAGGGCGGGGCTAAGGGTGGGTGGAGACCTCGGGTTGGTGATGCAAGTGCGAGAAGGGGCGGTCACCGAGCGTCCTGCGCGCCTCGCACGCCCGGGACACACACACACACCCGCCCTCTCTCTCCATATCAGGCCCGGAGTCGCCCGGGCGCACCGCCAGCCGTGCGTATTCGTCGCTGCGTGTTCCAGGCATGAGCCAATGGTGCCCAAGCCAGCGGCATGACTCCACCGCCCTGGCATCTCTCCCTCCGCTAGGTTGGGGTAGGGGGAGGGGCTCGGGAGGCGGGTCCTGGAGGTGGCCCAGACTAGGTGAGGCTGGGTAGCGGGCACGACCTTTCTCAAAAATGCGTGGTCATTTTTCTAAAACTTCAGGAAAAAGCGCCTTCTCTGGCCAGCGGCTTTGCTCAGGGAGGGGGCAGGGAACGGGTAGGTGACAATCTTCCTCGGGAAGGAGGTGCTCAAAGTTACCCTCTGGTGAACCCACACCGTTACCCGCCAGTGTGACCTCCGCCGCCGCGGGCCCCGCTGGCAGCCGTGGATTAACCCAGTCTCCCAAGCTCGCGCCCCCCACACACGCAGGGCCTCCGGACTCGCTGGGAACCCGAGCTGCCAGTGACGAGACGCTGTCAGCTTGGTTATGGGTTTTCAATAACAACCACAAAACATTTGCGAAAGCAAGAGTGTAGATAGAGGAAAGATCTGGAGCGATCAGAGGCCACCTTTGGGCTGGGAAAAGACGTCGGCTCAGGGAGTCCCGGCTAGAGGACGCTTTGATCCTCACGCGCCCCGCCTTGGCGGAGGTAGGGGGCGGGGGTCCGCCTGGATGTCAGGAAGTATTTAGAGAAAAACCGTCTCCAGGTTTCTAGTGTCTGCAGGAACAGAGAGTCCTGCTGGGGCCCGGCTGCCCGGACTGAGCACGTACTGCTTAGAGCCGGAACGTGGGGCCCTCTGCCCTGAAATCTGGTGGCGGGAAAAGTTGGACGTAGGGCTC